TAATTTAGAGAAAATTAATAAATATAAGAAATGAGTCTTATATTTAAGACTAAAACCAACTCAAGAATTGAGTCCTATATTAAGGACCGGAGGAGTATTTATTATATAAAACAAAAAAAATGGCCCTCAGTAATATTTATGGCATTGTTGTACTTTTGCGTTTGGATATTAAGCCAAAAACAGAGATGCCAATCAAATCTAATGTAGTCCCTAATTAATCATCACGAGATGATTGCTAGCTCATACATATTTGTCTCATTATGTGTAAGAACTTAGCCTGTCCTTCATATTTCCTTTCTGCTTAAAACCAGAGGTCCCTACTTCTGCACAAGCCTCCAACCAGCTCTTCCACCACCTGTGATTTATATAACTCACGACACACATTATTTTGATGTAACATCATATAATGTTCAGGAATATTGCCAAGAATTTCCAGAGATAGATTTCTATCTATATATATAACTCAATTATATCTGTATATATATGTTTTTATGTAATAATTAAATTCCTCGTTACTCTTGTTCATTGACAAGTCTCCTTCACCTCCCACTCAGCCCCAAGAATGGGCTTCAAAATGGTGAAGCACATATATATCAATATATATATATATATATATATATATATATACATATATTGTTGAGCATTGTTATTAACAAGGTACCTAAAATTTGTTTAGGGACTTAGGTGCATCATATCTTTAGCAAGTGCAACTTTTCTCCAGCTACGTACAGCTTATCTTCAAGGCTTCCATTATATGCAAAACGGAAGACATTTTCAAATAACTGAAGATATGTTCAATGCAAGTGAAAAAGTTGCATCTGTTTAAGAGCCTGGAATCTTAAGCACCTTTAAGCAATTAATTTTTTTAGTATGGGGCCCTTGACCAATTTTCTTAAGCACCTTTAAGCAATTAATTTTTTAATATGGGGCCCTTGACCAATTTTTCCTGATTATTATCTCACAGAAAGAACAAATGTTTTTAACAATGAAAGACCAAGTTGGGTTCTCGGTGCATCGATGTCTGTATCCATTACGTCCAAAAGCAAAAAGACCACATGATAATTCCAAGCTATTTTTTGTTTAGTAGTGAAACCAACTAAGCATGTAAAATATAGTTAAATTATTACTGTCACTTCTATTATGTTTTAAGATGTTTTTGGACTTTGTTTTAATTAATACTTGAGTTTGGCTTTTTCTCATGTACGCATTTCTTACGTCTACTTCTTGTTCAGCCATCTCTCCCCCCCCCCCCAAATTTTTTTTTTTTCATTTTGAACACCAAAGCACTAATAAGAAAATAGATCATCCCAAGTCATGCAATTGATGTTTAAGAACTGATTTATCATTGAGTCAAAATTATAAGAATAAAAAAAACTATTTTTTTTCAACTTTAATTAATCAAATCAACCTAGTTGCATATCCAAGACTCAAACCATAACTACCTATTTTGTTATGACTGATAACCAGTCATTAGGAAAAATCTTGCCTTCATCACTTGACAACTACTCCTTCCGTTCTTTTCCATAAGAGACAAAATTAGTTAAGGACAAAGAAAACTTGATCTTGCACTGGCTATAAATTAAGCAAGATCTTAGCCTGGAGGAACCACATCTTTAGCAGGCCATTCTGTTTTTTAACTTTGTTGATTGGGTCTAATCAAGCCCATCCACGAGACCCGGAGCCCGGGGCCCCCTCCCAGGCCCCCCACCGTCCAAAAGATAAATATGCTTTTTGAACCGTTGTTATTTTACAACAATGTTCGTTTAAACCATTCTGAGCGCTGGGTGCATTATTATTTCTTTTTTTTTTTTTTGGTATTTAAGTAATTCATATTTCACTCGACAAATAAAAATTGTCATAAAATGATATCATCCTTGTCAGAACCAGTATAAAAATGTTGACAATATCAAATACATATACATATGTAAACCTTTTATTAACAATAACAGGGGGGAAAGAAACCTATATAAACCTTTTAGCAAAACTTGCTTTATGACACCATTCATTATACAAAACTCTTCCATTTTATATTTCCATAAACCGTCTTCTTAATTTTCTAAAACTTTTCGATGTAATAGTAGTACTTCTACGCTTGGCAACTCCATCAACTCATCGTACAAGACATAAAACAAAAATAAAATAAAATAAGTTAGCCCATTTATTATGCATGACATCAACTTATGTAATATTTTCCTTTAAGAGTTCTCAAGTTACCCAAACAGGTGAGAAAATCATGTTTGCGAAGGCCAAGAAGAGACATAGGATTTTTGAGAACACAATGAAGCAAAGAAGGGATAGAAGATAATGAAACTCAACCTGATAGATTAAAAGCTCCAGATATAGTATATCTCAATAAGCAAAGATGAAAAAAAAATGCCCTCAAGATGATGGAATTATGACGTAATACAGATGAAATACAAATTGCAGAGGGAAGCCTAGTAATGTGAGAACTTTTGGTTATTTGTTATATCTAAATCCCACAAATCAATGATTTCAGATCAAGGGCTAAAGAATAAATACTCAAAATTTTTCCAATTGCCTTCTCCAAAAGGGTACAATATGAGATACATCCCTACAGGCTTAAGAAGCCAATATACCAGAAGTGTTACCTTCTTTAGGCTTCATGGAACAAAAGAAATTCAAGACATCAGCATTGTTACGAATGTAGCGTGGACATTTGGAGAGGAGGTTGTGAGCTTCGTCGTGCTTTCCTTGCTTGGAAAAGGCATCAAACATACGGAGAAAAACCGATGTAGATGGAAACCTCTTGGAAGTCATCCCCCTGAGAAACATAACAGCATCAGTTCCGGTTCCACCCTTTGATACATGTTCAATAAATGGATCAATAAAAGGTGGGAAACCATGACTTCTCATTAAACCCAAAATGTTTATGGCATCCGAAAATCCTCCCTGAACCAGTAGCTTCGTTATTAGAGACTTGTAGGTAGAATGCCAGGGCTCTAACTGTTGTTCCCTCACCAATTGGATGAGGATCTTGCATGCATCAATAGCCCTGTTCTCTTGGCAATATGCATTCATTAACAAATCGAAACCATGGTTTGCAGAAGTGACACCTTCTTTCTCAACCATCTTTTGAAAAGAATGATAAGCTTTATCAAGGTTCCCAGCACGACAGTGCCCCTCAATTAAGGATTCCCATGCCTTGTGATCCAGATTAGACCCAGACGCTTCAATGTTATTGATAAATTCTGAAGCTTCTTCCTCGTTACCAGAAGCACTAAGCAGAAAAGCAATTTTACTCTGTATATCACCAGTAGCCGCGACCCCACCATCCTCCAGTGCTTTCAAAACCTTGTTGCACTCCCAAGACCTGCCAACAGTAGTCAAAGACTTCAACACAGAATCAACAGTAGAACTTGTCAACACATTCCCACTTCCAGTAAAAACCTTCACAACCCTCGAAAGCAAAGTCATATCAAACTGCTTACTGACCGCAATTTTCTTCAACAGAAAGGTACAGCATTGGGGTGAAGGTTTATGTGCCCCAGCCATAGCAAATTCATACAGTTCAACAGCATCCTTAATCATCTTCCGTTTACAAAACCGTCCTAAAACCTTAACATATGTTTCTGATTGCATTTCATGCCCTTTGTTCCTCATTTCATGAACGAGTTTCCAAAACCTATCAATTGAATCTTCCCTTCCTAGCACCCTGGCCATCGCATTATAGGTGCAGCCATCATGTTTAAACTGCCCACTCTCCTCTAGCCACAAGAAAAATATCAGCGCTTTATTTGGATCAGTACCAAGATTATCCAAAATTGAAGTAATCATATCACTAGAGAACGCAATACTCAAGTCCAAGATGTTCTTTTCAACGTCATCACTCCAGACGTCATGCCTCACAATTTTACTGATCTTTGAGCACATCTTCTCAGCTGAATTATCAATAGAACCTGACGCAAACAAAGCTTTCAACTTCTCAATATCACCATTCCTTCCACTCTCTTCAAAGCTTTTCAAGACTTTATCGCGTACACCTTTTGATACCCCATAACCCTTTTTCTTCATAACAGCTACCATGTCCCAGAACTCATTGACGAGACCATTGGTTCCCAAAATAGATAACATCATGTTATAGGATTTCGAGCTCAACCTCTCACAATCACTCTCCAAAACCCAGTCAAAAAGCCTCCTAGCAACGTCAGGGCTAGAACCTAGCTTCCATAAAAGCTTAAGCACCATATCATGGTTAATCGCAATATTATTCAATTCAATTTCTTTCTTAATGTCATCACAGGTCCTGGGTTTCGAGAATATATCGGCAACAAGAACAACGTGATCCGATTCATTCTGCTCAAGTGCAGTCTCAGAAGAGAAACAACGAGTGGTGGTGTTTATGGGGTTTAAGAAATCAAGTAAACCAGTAGAGCGTAAGGAAGCTTGGTTTTGAAGAGAGTGGGAATGCAGGAGTGAAGTGATAGATCGAAGTGACTGTAAATTTGGATTGAGGTGTACCTGAAACTGAGGTTGCGAGAAATGATTGGAAGCGTAAATGCCAGCGCGATGCTGAGCGCGAAGAAGAAGAACACGCCATTGATTCTTCATCAGTGAGATCAAGATTTGAGGCTAAACTTCGGAAAGAAATGAGAAGGTACTGGATTAGAGCGAAATGAGAAGGGGCAAGGTGGAGGATGAGTAGGGTTTTGCAATTTTGCAAGATTTAGTTTTTTTTTTTTTTTTAAATTTTGCCTTTGAAATGAAGATTCATAGTGGGCCAAATTGACTATTGGGCCCAATCAAGCTTCCTCTTTCGCATCGAAGGATAATTGGGCCTATAACACATATGAATTACTTTTCGCCAAGCAAAATGATTGGTGATTGATAAATTTCTATAGATAACCAAATTTAACTTCTAATATGAGGATATCTATGCTTTAACAAAAATATAAGATATAAAATTTAGAAAATTAATATTCTATTTCTTAAAACCAGATAAAATTCAACTCAGTCTTTAAAAATTTTTACATGATTATTTGGGAAATATTTGTAACACTTTACTGTATTGGATGAGTGGATGGATAATTTTGATACAAAAGAAAGTCGTATTTCATTTACATAACTAAAACTAATGTATGCTGCTCAACGTGGAGATGATGGATATGAATTTATTATATATGGATGTGAAGTTAAGGATGTTTTACTCTTCTACGATAAAACTTGTTAAATTGATTTTTTAAAAATATAGTATTATATCAATTATAAATAAAGGAAAATCCATTAGGGAAAATCATAAAAAACAACTCTAGAAATTTAAAAATTATATACAGGGATCCATTCACAAAAATTGTTATCAAAACTTATAATGTTGTTGTTAAAACTCATACTAATATTGTTATAAGTACTTATTTGTAATTTTTTAAAAAATTTTGGCAGTCTTTTTTTGTGATTTTTCCAATCCATTATATTAGTTTTTAATGCATGTATTACTATGTTGAAATGAGAGTGAATTTTTATAAATTATACGATTTAAATTAAGATGCATTTTTCAGTATAAACTTAGAATCTCTCCAAATCACTTTGGACTTAAGACTAATTTATATTGAGTTGAAAGTGGTATGGTTAAATCCATCACAATAAGTATGTTTTACGTTATTCAAACTTATGTTTTCCTTCTTACGGAGGTGTGACCACTTACTATCTTAACCGATAGCTTATTGGCAATTAAGGTGCATTAATCTATATAACATAGAAGGAAAAAAAATATAAGCTACTATATATATATATTTAATGGTAAATTAGTTATTAGCTCCCTTCTCTTTTCCTCTTGAGCCAAACAAAAGATTATTATATATGTCTTCCCTTCCTCTCTAATTAAACCAAATAAGTAACATTAAAACCCTCCCCGGCCCTCCCTTCAAACCCAACACAATTGATAAGTTTTAGTAGATGGAATAGTGTTTAATTGGAGATAATTACACTCAAGGTAATGTTTGGTACTAAATATGAGTACCTCTCCTAACGAAGATTTGAACTTTGGTTAACCACCGTGTAATAGAGTAATCCTTTTGTTAGACTTAATTATGTTGGTTTGTAGTTTCTTTTTCTAATTTGATTAAAGTTAAATTTGAACCCAACTTCATAGAATCTAATGTTTGAACTACTGTCAGGTACTAAATATGAATACTTCTCTTAACGAAGATTTGAATCTTGGTTAACCACACTGTGATAGAGTAATCCTCCTGTTAGACTCAATCACGTTGGTTTATTGTTTCTTTTTCTAATTTGAGCAAAGGTAAATTTGAACCCAACTTCATAGAATCCAAAAACAAATACATGAAAATTAAAATACATTATTAGGATATACGTCTAGTTTTAACATAAAAAGAGTCTTTCAAAAACTCAATTAATCATCTCCAGTTGCATTAAAAACTTCTGAACTTGTTAGATCCAAACTCTGGAATAACCTGTCGTAATTGTATCCTCATTAATTCAAGCTTTTTCACAAAACAGAAAAAACATTTGTCAGTGATATGACAGTATAGATAAATTTGATTTCAGTTATACAAGAAAATGATAGAATTTGATGATTTTTTTGTTGTTTATATTTAATATTTTAATTTAACTTCGATCGGTAAATTGGATGTAGGAATTATTTTTGTATCTTTCGTATTTTTAATTTAAATATAATAAACTCAAGCTTAAGATCTTAAACCTAAACTCTCACATAATTTATGAGAAAAAATATATTTTAACTAAATATATGAAATATTTTTATTTTAGAATTCTTTGAATTTGATTCTCTTAAAATTTTGGAAAATATTCGTTGTTTATTTATGTGCTTGTATTATCTTTGATCTTTTCCACATATGGGAGATTTTATTTTATTTTTTTATGAGTTTGAGATATTTTTTATTAATAAATTTTCGCAATTCGGAAATATAATTTGGCATCGAAAAAAAATCGAAAGAAAGGGCGAAAAAATTATATATATATATATATATATAACATTCATATATTTATTATTTAATTTCATACTTAAATAACTAAATTAGCCCTAAATATATTTAATTTCACTTTAATTATAAGAATGAAAAAATAAAAGAAACGAAGAGTTGAAGAGGAAAAATGAGTCCAATTAATAATATGAAGCTCTCTTCCTAAACAAGAAGAGGTACTAAACAAACTAAAAAGAAAAAACAAAACTAGAGCATCAAAATTACATATAATGCCCTATATATTATGAAACTCAAAATCAGAAACAAATTAGGAAAAACCAAACTGATCAAGAGGATTAATTAACTTTAATCCCTCTTTAATTAACTAATTAATGAAATAATTAATTAGTTGCTCTTGTTCATCCCAGTAGCATCCTTCACTGCATCAGCCGCATCCTGTGCCTTGGCCATCATCTGCTGACCAGCCTTCATATTTACGGGAAAAAAAACCGTTAAGTCATAATTAATTGAAAGTGTTAATTAGGAGATTAATAATATTATAAAAACAATTGAGAAGTCATATGTTAATCCCAAAAAGAAAAGAAAAGAAATCAGAGATTAGATATAAACCTCTTGAATTGATTCCTTAGCCGACTGAGCAGCATTGCTAGCCTTCTCCATCATGGAACCAGCCTTTTCCTGCATAATATAACCCACGATTTAATTTTGGTAACTAATAATAATCTAACTGATGAAATTGATCACACGCAGATCTTTTCTTTTTGTCATCCTTCACCATCGGAAGAAACTCATGCGCACTCATCATATTCATAAAAGAGTCGAACTCGCAATCTTATATCTAAGATAGATTTAAGGAAAGTGCTTAATGCCTTTGGGCAGATGATCACATGGAGACTAATCATTGATAAAAAAAGAAGAATTATAATCAGGTCTCAAGAATGGGATTTAATTACCCTAAAGTTTACCCACAAGTAAAAAGTAAGTAATGATAAGTTTCAGAATAAGAAATGATAATAGGTTCAAAGTAATTCCTTATCCTTAATTAAATTTCTTCTTTAGGATTTCTTGATAATTCTTCCTAATAAACATACTACTCATAATGGAGAGAAATTAACAATGCGTATACCTGAGCTTGGCCTTGGGCTTGGCCAGCGTTGTAGCTCATCTTGTTAGTGGAGTCCATTTTGTTTGGTAAAATATTGAAAAAAGAGAAGACAGAAGAATTATATGAAGAGGATAATTAGAAGATTAGAGAGTGATTAAGCTTTGAATGGTGATATGAATGTTGAGGATGAGGCAATTATTTATATAGAGAGTGTATTATGTATGGGAGCATTAATTGCGGATTGTCATCTACTTTTAAGGCCATATTTGTGATGATGCTCATTTTTAGGAAAGCTATTAAGTAATTAATTTAGATGATCTATCTTTAATTTGACCACAACATTTGAAGTTACTTAATTAATTAATAATTGCTAGCTAGTAGCATAGCCTCCACCACACACTCCATATTTGGTAATTTAACCAAGCCTATAATAATATTTTCTTGTTTTTCATTTTTATGAAAATTGAAATATGTCCAAGTTAGAAAAGTTGCAATGGATTTGTTAGAAAATTCTTTTGGTTGCAAATCTAAAAGTTAATTAGGAAAAAAATATATTTTTTGGCTCGAAAAAAATATACTTTCACTAAGAATAAAACTCAATATATTTTAAAAAGTATCATGATTAAATAGAAAATATTTTCTGATTGTGAAAAAAACTAACTGCTAAACTATCAATATGCGGGGGAAAAAACTAATAAACCTAAAGAAACTGGAAATACTAGCTCATAAATTTGGAAATTCCAATTAGATTTGACGGTGATTTTAACTATATCAAGTTAATTTTAAGTGACATTTTGCATTATATTCGTAAGAATTATGTGTAAATAACAAATAGTTCATGTGTTGGGTGTGTGTGCGCGTATTAAGAAGGTTTTGAACTCAATAACTTCTATCTCATTCTACACACACTCTCTAACCACTGTGTGTTAAATGTATTGTTACGTTGTATATTATACTTCTGATTGGGAGAAATTTCATTCTTGGCTATATATATAATTATACAATAATTAGTTAAGTTTTTCGTTCTTAATTTATTTTGAATTATTTTATGCTGAATAATACTACGTCCGGTCCGTGATATAATAGTTTGTTTAACTTTTATTTTGTTCTTAAATATAAAACCCCAATATATTTTATCTCTTATATTTATTCATTTTTTCCAATATAGTCCTTGTAATAATAGTAGTTGTAGCCAATACACTTAATCAATAAGGATATTTTAAAAAATACAACCCATATTTATTACAAATAACTAACTTAATTAGTTTTATTAATTTCAAATTAGTTAACTAGTTTTTATATTAAGGACTTGAGGTAGTATTATGTATTTTCAAATGAGTATTTAGTAATAATATTGTTCATGTTGTTAGTTTTTTTTATTATTAGATTATCCACATCCATCAGCTAAAAAAAAAGATTATCCACATCCATACCATAGTGAAAAGCGTCCGTGACTAGCCCTTTACCAAAGACGTAGTGTTTTAATTTTTTTTAATATAAATGTTATTTATTTTTAATTAGGAACCATGAACTTTATTCATTTTACGACAACAAAACTTACATGTGGTTTGATATTATTCGTGAATATGTGTTTTGCTTTTAATAATTTATCCTTTGTTA